CACGTGAGCCCCGCCCAGCCGCGCGCGAGCGCCCCGCGCCCAGACCCCAGCGCTGGGCCGGTCCTGCGTGGGGGTCCCAGTCCTCGGCCCCGTTCTGTGTCTCCGTGGCGCCCGCACCTTCCACCACCCCCTGCCCAGCCTGTGACTGCGGTTCTAGCCGGGATGGCCGTGGCCCCGGGAACCACCCCGGCCCTCTGCCCAAGTCCCCATATGCCACCAAAAGTGCTTGCAGGCCCCGGGAGCAGAAGCGAGGCCGTCTGCAGACACCCAGGTCAGGCCGCAGGTCCCTGCCCCTGCCTCTCCAGCCTCTGGCAGAGCCCAGGGCCCAGCCTGTCCCTGCTGCACCTTGCTGGTGTAAGGGGCACAGAGGAGGGTCAGGGGTGGTTCCTGTTACTGAGAGCCCCCGGCTGCTCCAGTCTCACCCCTTTTTCTGCAGGAGCAGTGAGCCCACACATGGGGTCACTCAGCCTAAGTGGCCATGTCCGGCTCAACAGGGACTCAGGTCATCACTGCACCATTGCCAGGCCCCTCTGAGCGTGAGCAGCCCGGTGTGCGCTGGGCTCCCCTCCACCAGAGGTGTCCTGAGTCCAAATGCTCTAGGCCCTGCCCCACCCCACTCTGACCCCAAACACCCCGCAGGGCGCAGCCTAGCCCAGGCCTCACTGAGCCACTCAGTCTGGCCACACTCTTGCTGCTGGCCGAACCACAGGCTGCAGGCGAGAGGGGTTGGGGCTGGCCCCCTGTTTTCTGGGGTCTCCAGGTGGCCCCATTCCTGATGGTACCTCCCCATGGAACACAGCTGCTGCCTCCAGGATCAGACACTAGGCCAGAGGGCGCACGCAACGCCCCAGCCCTGCCAGGCACACAGGGGTGAGTCTCGGCTGCAGGAGGGCTGCGGGGCAGGCCTCCCACCTGCAGATGGCCTCGCTGGGTGGAGGCTGCCCTGGGCCAGGAGGGCCTGAGACTCTAGGCACACCCTCGGGGGCCAGAGCCCAGGGGGCCTCCGAGTTAACCCAGGTGTTTCTGAACACCATACCCCCCCCCGCCCCGCTCCCACAGCGATGGTCCCTGGAAGCCAGGATGCCCGACCTACAGGCCGCAGCAGACACTTGGACACACAGGCGGTCACTCCGCCGAGGCCCGGCCCAGCCGGCTTTCCTAAAACTCCGGCTGGGTGCGGCTTGGCTTGAGGGAGGCAGCCACCCAGCCCTGGAACCGCTCCGAGCCTTGCTGCAGCGTCCTGAATGGGGACCTGGCCACTGGCGCTGGGGTCACAACGCTGACAGCTCCCGCGGAGGGCGGGCTCCAGGCGCCTTCCACACCCCACTGCGCAGGGGGCCGACGCCCCGCCAGCCGAAGGCACCTTGCTGGGGGAGGCCGGGCACCTGGCCAGCCTGTGGGCTTGGCACGTGGGCACAGCCCTTCGGAGTTCGCGGAGGCTTTTCTGCATCATTTCCGGCCGGGTTCTGCCGGACGGGCGCAGGACAGGCCTGCTGTGCCCTGAGCTCCGGGTGAGGCCCGGGAGCGACTGCCCCCCACGGCCGCCGGGCTCTGCCATCAGCCCCTCAGCCAGCGGGTGTCCTTGTCCAGGGTGGAGAAGCGCATCGGCTGGGCGGCCGTGGCTTCCTGTCGCCTCAGGGGCACTCAGGGGACAGCAGCCTGGAGGGCTTGTGCAGGGGCTGCTCCTGCCGGTGCCGTGCGCGTTGGCCCTGTCGGCCAGGGTGGCCGTGTGGCGGCGCTGTGAACTCGTACACCCTGGCACCCGCCCCATGGCACAAGTCCCCTTCGCCCCACGCCACGAAGGCGGTGGGGCCAGGCCTGCGCTCGCAGGGGAACTGCTGGGGACGCGTGAAGTGGCCGGGGTGGATGGCCGCGACCAGGTCGCCCAGCGTCTCGGGGCCCCCGGGGCTCCGGAACACCTGGTCCACATGGAGGCAGAAGAGGCGGTCCGCTCCCGGGGGGCCCCCGGCGGGCCCTCGTGGCGATGCGCCGGCTGATGGTCTCCATCCGGCGCATGGACACCACCTCCCAGTCTGAGTGCTTCTGGGTGGGGAAGACACGCAGGTGGTGGCCGGGGCCCAGTGGGACCCGTGGGACGGCCGCGGGGTCGTCGGGGAAAGAGGTGGCAGTGAACCCGGTAACCTCGCATGAAGAAGCGCTCGGCCAACTCCAGGAAGCGCTGCAGAAAGCCATGGCACCTGGGGGCGGCCACCATCACCCGTGGCAGGGCCGGGCCCGGGGCCCGCTGCCGGCCGGCACCACACGGCGCCCCAGGCCTCGCAGGCCAGGCCAGGTCGGGGGCCCTGACCCCTGGGGTCCTGGTCTGCAGTTCCCCAATCGCGGTCACGAGTGCCGGGGACCTGCTTCCCGCGGCTGCCCAGACCCCGCTAAGAGCCGCGGCGCTCACGGCCTGCAGGAGGCACTGCGGCTCCCATTTGCAGGCAGGGACACTGAGGCAGAGAGGGGACAGTAACGAGAAGCAGTGACCGCGCCACAGGAGAGTAACCCATGGGGGCTTGGGGGCCTGGGCAAGCAGGAGGAAAGTAGAGCCCCCCCAAGCTGCAGCTGTGCGGACCGGGGAGTGACCCGGCCCCAGATGGGTCATCTGGCATCTGGGCCACACTTTGTGCCAGGGAGCCCCAACACTGGCCCTCAGAGAGGCAGGCGGGCCTGGGGAGGAGAGGAAACAGAAGTGTGAGAGAGGCGCGGGCAAAGGTCCTGGGCAGGCCGGGGCCGCACACTGCCTGACCACGTGGCCTGGCCATGGCCCCCAGTTATGGGAGGTGGTCTGGGGTCTGCACCCCATCTCTGAGGCCTGGCTGGACCATCCGGGGGAAGCAGAGGGACTCCTGACTCAAAGTTCCTGCTGCCCCACCCCCGGGCTGCCCAGCCCCCTGCCCGCCAGGGCTGGACCCCTCTCCCAGGGGCCCCTCCCACCATCACACAGCCGCTCCCCAAGCGCCCCAGGGCCCGGGTACCCAGGCAGGCCGCCCGACCAATGCCCAGTGGCTCCCCAATGCCCAAAGCCCCCGCCCAGCCCAGCCCACCACCACCTCCCCACGGCGAGCCGGCCTCGGGCTCAGGCCGGTGGGTGCGCCCAGGAGCTCCGACTGAAGGCCGCTGGGACACGCGGGCCTGCAGAAGGCGGCTGAGCACCCCTGCGGCCGCCGAGGCAGCCCGTGGGCCTCTGGCCCCAGCAAGGGGCGGCTCTCACCCCTCACCTGGGGGGCTGAGCGGCAGCGCGGCGAGTGAGAACCAGGGAGCCCCCGTCCTGGCTGCTTGGCCTGGACCCCGAGGCCCGCGGCCGCCCGCACCCCAGCTTGGACGGCACCCTCTGCCGCCCCGTCTCCCCGTCGCCGCCTGCTCCTACCTCTGCGCCAGCAGCTTGGGCTAAGAGTACTGTGACCTGTAACAGGGAAGGGCCCAGTGGGCGGGGGGCGGGGGGTGGCTGCTCACTGTGCCTGGGGCTGGACGGCCTCTCCCCCCCCACGTGCCTGGGGAGGCGACAAGGGTCTGTTAGTGCTGGGCTGGGGCTCGGCAGGGCAGAGGCTGAGAGAATCAAAGGCCCCCGCGGGGCGGGCACAGCCCAGGTCCCGGCAGACCCCCTCCACGGGGCCCCCCCGCTACCCCCCTCCGGCCGGAGGGGCACGCGGCCATCCCCTGGCACCGCGGCTCTCAGGCTGCAGGCTCTTCCCTGGGCTGGGCACCAGGCACTGACAGGAGACGGAAACACAGGGCCAGCTGTGCCACCTTCTGGGGGTCCCCGGGCGAGCCCCGTAGCCTGAGTCCTCAGGGGCAGCCAGTGGCAGGGGCCCCTGCGGGGCGCCCCAGACTCTGGGCCCGCCCTGTAGTCTTTCTTCCCTCCGCCCCCGCTGTTTCTTCAGGAGCCCGACTGGCACCCCTTGTCTCATCTCTCACGGGGGCGCCGTCCTGGGCCTGTGGGGCCTCCCTGGGGGCGCGGGGTGAGTCTCAGCACTGTGGAGCTGTCTGCAGCCACTGCGGCCTGCCTGAGTGTGATCCCCGCCCCGGCCACGGAGGGACCCCCGGGGCGCAGCAGAGCTCCCCGGCACCGCTGCTCCCCTCAGCAGTGTTTCAGTGGATCCGCCTGGTCCACTCTCTGGGGAGTCCTCTCACCCCCGCATCTCGGGTCTACGCCCTCGTCCTTGAATATATAAGTAAATCTTTAAAAAAACAAACAAGGTCCGCTGTGTGGGCAGCCCACAGCTTCACCTTGGGCCAGTCCGGGTGCAGAAGGACACAGGGCCCGGGCAGCGGGCGGCTGCTGGCCACGGGAGGCGGCAGGTGGCCGCGCTCTCAGGCAAGCGCGCCAGCTGGCCCAGAGCCCTGGGACCAGACACACAACTCCCTGGGCTACAGATGGCGACAATGAAGCCTCCTGCAGTGGGGGGCTGGGGGGAGTGGGGCCCCAGGCGGCCCTGCCCCCCAGGGATTGCCTTGCCTCCAGCCTCATAGCCACATGACATGCGGACCGAGGAGGAGAGAGAGGAGGAGAGATCCCTCTGAACCCTGAAGTGTCCGGCTCCTGGGCGCTCACAGGCTCACACCTGTGCCTCTCCGAGCACCTCCCCTTCCTCACGGAGGCCCCCCTCTTACACGACCCCTTCACCCCTCTCCGGCCCCACTATCCCGCTTCTGTCTCTATGAAGTTGCCTGCTTTGGGGCCCCAGAAGTGCACCCCTGTATTTGTCTTTGGTGGTGAATATAAACCTCAAATCTAATTTTTTCTTTTTTAAAAGATTTATTTGTGCATACAGAACTGGGGTACAGGCCAGAGGTGCGGGGACGGTGAGAGGCTCACCAGAGACAGAGCGGGGAAGCTAACAGGCAGATCCACTGAAACCCGCTGCCGAGGGAGCAGCGGGCGACAGGAGGGGTCTGCTGCACCTGGGGTCCCTCTGCGCCCGGGGTCCCTCTGTGCCTGGGGTCCCTCTGCGCCCGGGGTCCCTCTGCGCCGAGGGTACCTCCCGGGCTGCGATCAAACTCGCGCTGTGGCCAGCCTCGTGGCACTGTGCTTTGCCTGCTGTGCCACCAGGGAGGCCCTGTGAGTTTTTCTTG